CACTGGAAGGCTGGACACTCTCTGGCCTGTCACCCCAGGGCTGGGCCACCACCCTGAGGCACCAGACACCCCAGCTGGCTCCCAAGGCCCCCCAGCCCGTCTTCAGCTGCGTGTGGACGTGTCCACGTGCTCAGGCTCCCAGGTCGGGCATGACTGTCCCACTGTTGTCCTGTGTTAGCCCCACGAGACAAAACCGGCTGAGGCCCAGCCAGACGTTCCCTCCACGTTTTACTCCCCACAGCGGGCTGTGCTGGAGGGGAAGATGAGCGGCACGTCCCCGTGTGTCTGTGAGCAGGCGCAGCGTGTGTGCCTGTGTGTGTGTGTATCTGCGTGTGTGTGTGCATGCCTGAGCGTGTGTGCACACATGTGTCTGTGTATGTGTGTGTGTCCGTGTTTGCACGTGTGTGCATGCCTGAGCGTGTGCACACGTGTGCCTGTGTGTCCCTGTGTTTGCACGTGTGTGCATGCCTGAGCGTGTGCGCACATGTGTCTGTGTATGCGTGTGTGCATATACACACATGAGTGTGTTTTGTGTGCACACGGATGCACATGTGTGTGTGGGCTGGCTGCCTGGCCCCTGCTTCTCCCGGGGGACGGGCGTTGCTGTGTGTACACTAAACATGTTTGAGGTTACGGGGAGCACCTGAAACATTAAAACCCTGAGCTGAGGGGTGTGCAGCGGAGGTGACTCACTGCTGACCCGGCTGCTTGACCGGCAGGGTAAACACTCGGCAGGAGGGTTGGAGAGGACGTGGCCTCTGATTCAGATGCCTCCGTGTCTTGGACACTGTTGAGTCCTGCGTGAAGCCTGTGGCGTGCGTGTGGGCCTCTTCTCTCGTCTGTGCTCCCGGTGGCCTTTACCCCTTCCTCACCCGCAAATCCTCCTCCACACCTGTGAGCTGTTGAGCCTGTGTGGTCCCCTGGCTCTAACCTAGCCACCAGGCCTCAGGGTTTTCTGACTCACTAGGCCCATGTGTGGCAGGGGCTGCCCTCCCATGCCCGCTGTGCCCTGGGTGTGGGCGCCTGCCGCCTGGCACCCCTCTATTGACACTCTGGAGCCCTGGCAGTTCTTTCAGGTGGTGGTTCTCGGGCAGAGTTATCCCGCCCATCTGCTGTTTGCTCTGGCAAGGCTGAGTCTGAGCTGCTATTTTAAACCCAGTTTTTCAAGTTTAGGACCTGTCTGAGCTATGAACCCAAGACACGGATACCCCCGGGCCTATGTATCTGCACTCAGTGGAGGCCAGGGGACAGCCTGTGGCCTCCTTCCAGGGAGGGGGTCCCCACTCCGTGCTGTCCCTAACGTGGGAGAGATGGGGTGGAGAGAGTCATGGAACCCAAAAATCAGACACAGCCCTGGCCAGCTCACTGGCGCTCAGGACCTTCCCGAGCTTGCCTTCTGGACCCGGAAAGCATGGTGGAGGAGACAAGTGAGTGTTGGTGCAGACGCCTGGGGCTCTCTCTTACTTCTCGGGGAGCGGGACTTGGGGGGCAGCCCTGCCCTTGCCCCCTGCAGCCAGCTCAGTGCGTCCAGCAGCACTCCAGGGGTCCAGTGCCTGGCAGGGGCTCGTTCATCCACCTACCACCACCTCGCATGGTTCGTGAGCATATGGTTTCTAGCAGCTGCTTGTAAAACGCAGTTTAAAAATTGCCTGCGTGGGCTGGATGTGCAGCCACGGGTTTGCAGCTTAGAGCTGAGTGTGCGCACGGGCCATGGGCCGGCGGCGGGGGGGAGGCGGGCCTGTCAGTGCGGGCAGTGGCCGGGGGAGACGGCGGGGTGCTCTGAGCATGTCGGCAGCGGGGCGCAGTGGCCACGGTTCCTCACGAAGCTTCACGAAGCACCTTTCTGGATGTCAGGAACTCCTTTCCTAAATTTAGGAATTGTTCTTCACCGGCGTTCTTACTGTTTTCAGATGTTCTCCTTGAGCTAGTTGTGCACAGACGTTTCAGGAATTACGTGTTTTTCGTTTGGTCTTGATGTTGACTTACCGTTTTGGGGCCCAAAGCGTGGCCGATGCCGTGGGTGCTGCCCCGGTGGGGAGACGGTGCTGGACCACGGCTTGCTTGTGTCGGACTCACGGACTTGGTGGCCCTCGCGAGGGCTGTGGGGGCAGAGGGTGGGTGTATGAGGGCCGTGCCCACCAGGCCGTGTTCTCGGGCTCTTCCCCACGCTGGCCGGACCTCGTGCCCTGTGAGCACTGCCCCCCTTGGCCTCAGTTTAACCGATTCCCACATGCCCTTGGGCAGAGAGCCGGAAGGTGGGTCCAGGGCCCCCCGACACAGGTAGACCCCCGTGTCACAAACAAGACCTCAGACGTTTTCCCCACCCCAGAGTGGTGGGTGTTTGTCCTGGGAGAGTTCCGGAATACCAAAGGCACAGAGTAGCAGAATCAAGTTGAAGCTGCTGCTCTTGGGTCTTAGACGGATTCTGAGCATCGGAGCTCGGACCTGTGGGTCTGGGTCTGCTCTGGGCGCCACTCCGGCTCCACGGGACGCGTCCCCGCCGCACACACCAGGGCGGGGGTCAGAAAGTCCGAGGCGGCCCCCAGCTGTCTCACCCCAAGCAGGTGCTGGTGGGGCTCGGGGTCTGTCATAGGCAAGGTGGCGGCAGCCTGGCCTTGTCCCTGGGACCACCCTGGCTACTCGCTCCTGTTTGTCTCAGTGGCTTCCCTCCCGCCAAGGCTGGCAGCCGGGCCCTTTCGTGTCACCTCGTACCCCCTGTCATTCTTGGGCTCTGCCCTGACACATCAGACCCCCAGAGTCGGGATTGGGTAGGAGGACGGTTGAGGCCAGGGCAGACTCGATCTCTCCTGCAGGGGCCGGTCAACTCATCTCCCCGCCCCACGTGCAGTTGCCCACCGACCACACGTGGTCACAGCTCCGACCCGACCACGGGAAGCCACGGCAGAGGCAGGGCCTGCTTCCCAGGGCCATCCATGCTTGTCCTGTTCCCTGTTGCGGCGCCGTCAGGCCCGAGGTCAGACCCGCATCTGGAGCAGGTGCAGGAGTAGCTTCGGGAGCTCAGGGCGCTGACGGGCGTTCCCCGCTGTGGTTCTGGCATGGGCGTCTGTGGCAATTCCGCCATGCGATGCGCTCAGCACACCGAGTTAGGTGGTTTGTGCCCCGGGAGCTCCCGGGGTCTGCTCCTGCTCGTGCGTGTCCCCTCTCTCAGACTCCCGGGTGGGACGCAGCCAGCCCCTGGGCTGCCTGTGTCCACGGGGCCACAGCAGACTGCCTGAGGGAGGCACGTGCTCACACACTCCCGCTTACACCCACACACACTCACACGCCATGATGGTGGCACTGGGCCTGCCCACAGGCCGGGCCCCGGGGGTCTGTGCTTACCCGAGTGGCAGGCCTGAGGGCGTCTCTGCGCCAGATGGGCTCAAGGCTGGCTGAGGAGGACGGACACGTCAGCCTTTCACGGCCTGTGGCGGGACAGTGGGGTCCCAGCCGCCAGCTGAGTCGGCTCCTTGGGACATGCTGAGTCCCTTTCCCTCCCCCGTCCCGACAGAAATCTGGGGCAGAGCAGGTGTTTGGGGACATGTCCAGTAACACTGAGAATCAGATGGCAGAGCTCGGGGCCCTGCAGGGCGGGGTTCTGCTGGCTCAGGTGGAGCCTGGCAGACCCCAAGGCCCTGCTGACCGACAGGTCCGTGGCACGGTCACAGCCGAGGCTCAGCGTGTCCCATGGGCGTCACAGAACAGCCAGTCACCAGGAGAAGTGGACCTCCCCAGAACCCCGTGTTGCTTCTGGGAGGGAAAGTGACCCTGGTGAGGCCATCCATGTGGCTGGCAGGCATTGCCACCCCATCAGGGTGCAAGGGCCGTGGGACCTTGTTCCCATTTCTAGCTGGCCTTGCTGGGGGCCAGGATACCCCTCGTACTGCCCCCCGAAAGTGTCTCTGGGTCACGCGGCCCAGGGGTGAGTAGGGAGGGCGTGCTGGGGTAGGCAGCACTGCAGGGACGGGGCTTGTTCCCTCGAGGGCAGAGGGGTCCCCTGCTCCGTCGTGTCTGCAGCACGTGCACAGCATTTGCTTGGTGAATGGCGCCAAGCGAATACTCGCCATTCGGATGAATGCAGCCAGGTTGCCCATTCCAGCTCTTCTCTCTGCACTCGAGGAGACAGAGCTGTTTGCCCTGGGGAGGGGGCCCTTCACCCTAGTGCTGCAGGGCTGCTGGGCGGCCCTGAGGGTCTCGGGAGGCAGGTGTCCTTGAGTGGCCTCTGGCCTAGAGCTTCTGTTCCCTGGGCCCTGACTTGGGGGTGACCATGCTGGTGTTGCGAGCTGTGCGGTGACCCTCCCGCCACGACCACAACCTGAAACGCTGTGCACCTGCTGGTCCCAGTGACCACGCTTCAGGATGGCAACTGTGTGGAACCTTTTGGAGCTTTGGGAGGAGGAAAACCGAGGCTGAGCCCTCCCCCCGTCCCTGCTCTGGAAAAGATGCTTGCAGAGCTGTACCTGGCGCTCCCGTTGTCCCTAGAGGCCCTCGGCGAGGCCAGCCTGGCGCTGGGCACCTCAGGAGCCTCCTCGGGTCCCTCACCTCTGGGGCCCGCAGCCAGGTCTTATCTTGGCCCCACATAACTCACATGGAGGGCATGGGTGGTGGGTTTGTTGGGCCCCGGTGCCGCCTGGGCCCAGAGTGGGTGGGCCGGCCATGGTTGGCAGCTACGTGTGGGAGCGGGACGCGGGGTAAGATGTACGTGTGCTCATGGCCTCGCTCATGGGCTTGAGATGTGCAAAGGGGCTCCCAGCTTGCCTGTCATGAACCTCAGCTCTTACCCCACCACCCCCAAAGTCGCCCAGTGGCATCCCTTGTCATTCTAGAATTTTCCATCTTGTCTTGGTGTCAACAGAAGAAACAGTGTTCTCCCCCCTGCCCCCGGTGCACCTTTGTCTGCTGGTCACCCACTCCCCAGCCACGGGAGGGTGGAGGGGCCATAGCACAGAGTACTTAACTTTTCTCTCCTTCCCCTCTTCCCCTCCTTCCTGCCTTTCCAGGAGACGTTCTCTTTCAGATGGCCGAAGTCCACAGGCAGATTCAGAATCAGTTGGAAGAGATGGTGAGGCTCCTGGGGAGGAAGGGGCAAATGCAGGGGGGCAGGTCAGTCAGAGGCGAGGAGAAAGCAGGCTGTGTGCTTTGGCCATGTGTCCATGTGGGAACGTTGTGTCATCGTGTGGCTGCACTCAGAAAGATGGGGACAAATCCCAGGCCCGGGACAGAAGTCACATAATGGGGAGGTGACTCATCGTGAGGGCCAAGGACAAACAAGCAGCCAGGAGGAAAGGGCCCAGGCCACACGGGATCTCATACTCCAGGCAGGGACACGGGGTTGCGGGTCTGAGGAGCACACACGTGCTCAGATTCCAGGCCCAGCCAGGACCCAGTAGGTCTAAAGTGAGGGGTCACTCGGGCCCCTCTGTTTGCTCGTGTCAGCTTGAGTAATTCTTCAGCGCTGGAGAGCAGATGGGGGATGGTGGGGAGCGGTTTCTGTGTTCGCCCTGGGAAGCGGAGCCCCCGATGGTATCCAAGGCCAGGACGGTCTGACGTCCCCACTGCTGTTCAGCACTCGTTCCTGGAGGCTTCTGGCTCCGGCTCCCCAGGCCCCGCCCGTCTGTGCAGGCTCATTGGCTCAGGGATCAGACGGGCCCCCTGTCCCTCGGGGTGGCTCGTGTCTGGGGCGCCGTGGTGACCATCCACCTCTCCTGGGAGGGCCCTCCCCCGCCCGCCTCGTGCCCCGGCCTGCAGGGCTCACTGCCCGTGTGTTCTCTCCGTGTCCAGCTGAAGTCTTTCCACAATGAGCTGCTCACACAGTTGGAGCAGAAGGTGGAGCTGGATTCCAGGTACCTGAGCGTAAGTAGCCAACACCTGTCGGGTTGCCCGCACTGCTCCCCCTCGCGCTTGGCATCTCCCGGGTGGTCAGCTCGCTGCGAGCCTGCCATCCTGCAGGTTCCCCGGCCCTCCCCATGCCTGCCCGTCTGGGAGTGAGCGCAGCGCGTGGGGGAAGCCAGCTCGTCCAGTGCCTTGCGTGCCCAGTTCTGGCACCCCCGCAGCTCGCCACCTTCCGTAGTGACGATGGCACCACGCTGCCCCCCTGCGGAGCCTGCAGACTCCGTCTCTGTGACCTGGAGGCCTTGGTGCCCCGTCCCTGTGCCGTCACCTCTCCCCAGGGCCAGAGGGGCCCGAGGTGCTGCACTCTGTCGGGGTGTGCGACCTGTGCTCATGGGAGGCGCCCTGGCTCTTGGCGGTGGAGGAAGGGGAGAGGCCCAGATTTCGTGTGTGGGACCATGGGCCACCGCAGGAGGGTGAGGCCTGGGTTGGCCGTGCTCCCCCCTCAGCCTGCGGCCAGGTGTTGCCGGCCGCCCTCGGGGCCGTGCGGGCTGAAGCTGTGCAGAGAGCCGGAAGGGCCATCGGCTTATGGGTCTGTGTGGCGTCTTTGACTCTCAGGCCGCGTTGAAGAAATACCAGACGGAGCAAAGGAGCAAGGGTGACGCTCTGGACAAGTGCCAGGCCGAGCTGAAGAAACTCCGCAAGAAGAGCCAGGGCAGCAAAAACCCGCAGAAGTACTCGGACAAGGAGCTGCAGGTAGGACTCGGGCCCGCTGTCATGACTCCGGCGGCCCCTTGAGCGAGCAGTGCCGAGGAAGCGCTCCCCTCCCCGGGCCCTCTTGGTGGACCTGGGCAGAGCCGGGCTCTGTTCTCCCGGTGGGTTTGGGGCAGCGAGTACCTCCCATCCTAGAGCCAGCAGATGGCCGGCGTGGGCCTGCGGCCCCCCTGCCCTGTTCTCGGAGCCTCGGTGGGGCACTGGAAGGCTTGCTGCCAAAGGAGCGGAGACCCCAAGGACATCTTGCTCTGTCCTCTGGATTCTGCCCCCAGGACTGGGCCCAGACTCTGCAGGCTGACGCTGGCCGGTCAAGTGGCTCAGCGGCCCGAGAGGCACAGGGCACAGGAGGGCGCAGGAGGGGCCCGCCCTGGTGTGGCCTCCCTCACCACTGGGCCCAGCGTTGCAGGCACCGTGTGCGCAACGGACCAGGGATTTGGGACAGAGTGGCCCTAATATACCTGATTCACCCGAACCCCCTGGCCAGTTGACACAGATCAGGCCTACAATACCCGCTGCCGAGGCCCCACGTAACTCAGATGAGGAGGAAAGACAAAACAGCTCCCAGCCACTTCGGGGCGAGGGGAGCCCCATGGGGCCGAGCATGGGCGTGAGCCCCTCATCTCCTGAGGCCCCACCCTCGGTGCCGGCTGTCAAGTTGGCAAGCCTTGAGGTGCGCCGTGCACCCCCGCTCTTCCCCACGTGTTTGCGTCTGCCTACGAGTGCCTCGCGGGCACGCACCCCGCACCCTCCCCTAGTGTGGTGCCGGCGAGCAGCCCACCTGGTGGGGCGCAGGGGCCTGGCAGCAGCAGGTGAGAACTGTCACCCTGCGTGCAGAGCACCACGGCCTAGTGAGGGGAGCGGAGGTGCCGGTCGTCCGGGGCAGCGGTGGAACAGCGCCCGCCATTCTCAGCGTGACTTCCCCTTGTCAGGCGTGTCCTTGCGCCACGCTCTTGGCTCCGTCATGCCCGGTGACTGCCCCTAAGCTGTCACCGCCCTGGAGGCCTGAGCCCCTGAGGCTGTCCGGCGGGGGGCCCTTATAGGCGGAGTCAGATCTAGAAGCGGGCTGTGAGGCTGAGGGGTGGAGAAAGCCACACTTCGCTGGATGTCTCCGTTTCATGTCCCCCCCCCAATGTGTTTTGTCATTTTGCTCCCTGAAAGCTTGATCATGATTGGCGCCCCCGCCCCCTGGAGACCATGAACCCCCTCGGCACAGGTGTTTGCACCAGAGCTCCCCCTGGGGGGCCCTGGGCTGGTGGGGCGCTGGGGCACCGAGGCCGGCTCGTCCAGGCTTCAGCCACCTGCCAGGTGGGGCTGGGAGCCTGCGCACCCCCCCTTGAGGCGCTTTGTTCTTCTCTTGGGTTCAGCTTTGAAATACGCTTCACGTGCCATGGAAGGGACACGGGGCGGCTTTGCGTGTGGCCATCTGTATGGCTATGCCGCTGTCCCCACGCTCCATTTTAGAGGGTTTCCAGCACCCCAGAAAGGAAGCCCCTGCCCATCAGCGGACACCCATGCCCCCCAGGCAGCCAGTGACCTACCGTCCGCATGTGACTCGGCCCGGTCTGGGCATCACGCGTGAATGGAGTCCCCACTGTGTGGCCTCCTGCACGTGGTCCTTCACACTCAGTTCTCGAGGTTCATCCACCCTGTGGCCTGTGCTTCCTTCCCTTTTACAGCCGCAAACGTGGAGGCTGTGTCCTGAGCAGGGCCTGGGCCCTGGACCCGTGGACCTGCCCTGTGACCAGCCTTCTGGGGGCCGTCACAAGCACACTTGCAGCTGGAGGGTAGCGGTCGCGGCAGGACGCTGGCCGGCAGGTCCTGCGCCCGGGGTGGGGGGGCGGGCTGGGTGGAGGCCAGACCCCAGGGCTGGCGGCCTTGATGGCATTCGCTCCTGCTCCACGGGGAGCCTGAGACCCCCCGTGTCGGTGGAGTCTGGAGACTGCTGCATCTGGCTCCAGCCGCCCACACCCCTCAGTGCTCCCTGCTCCACCCTGGACCCTGGGCCTGTGGAGCCAGAGGGGGTTTGCTTCCTTAGTTGGGCAGGGCCGGAAGGGGACCCGGCAGGGGCTCTTCATGCACTACTCTTGCTGTGCTGGAAAATTGGGGGCCCTTTTCTCCCTGCACGGGGTCTCCCCGCAGTGCCCCAGTTGGCGAGCTGGCCACGCCCACCCTGGCCTCCTGGGGCTCCTCCTCAGAGATATGCAACTGCTCTTTCTTCCCGTCTGAGGGTCACCCCCTGACCAAGGCCCCCCCGTGCCCCCAGCACGGCCAGGTCACGTCCCCTCCTCCCTGGGCTCCTGCTGTACAGCAGCGTCTGTCACCCACCTTGTGGCTTGCAGACACCTGGGCTGGCCCCACCCGCCCGGCCCCGCCCAGCCCCTCCCCGCCCCTCCCCACCCGGCCCCTGCTGTGAGGCCCCCGGACTGTCGGATCTCGATTGCACCCCTGGCTTTGTCCCTTACAAGGGGTGTGGTCGCGGCGGGCTCCAGGCGCTTGCGCAGCCTGCCTGCCCATTTACGAGGTGGGGTCCTTCCCTCCTCCCGTGCTGACGCTGACCTAGTGGGATTCCCCTTCCTCTTTCATGCACCTGCTCAGAACCTTCTCCTCTGGCCACCTTTTGGTCTTCTGCTTTTCCAAATCTCTCTTCCTTCTCTGTTGGATCCAAAACTATCCAAGGGTTTTATTGTGATTTCCCCAAGTCACTGAGCTCCTTCCAGGGAGGGCTGGGTCCTGTGTTGCACACATGTCCCGTGTGGTGCCCAGCCCGGGGTGGCCGCACAGTGACATCCAGGATGTGCCCGGTGATTTCAGTTTTCTTTCTTGAGGGTGGAAGCAAAAGGACTGTTGAACCACCATGTGGAACTCCGAGAAGCTGGGCCAGGACATCCTCAGAGCCCCACGCCCGGGTCTGTGCTGGGTCAGATGGGCTACCTGGTGCACTCCGAGCTGGCAGGAGGCCCGCCAGCCACCTGTCCAGGGCGGATGATTCTTTTGTTTTTTGGGTTTTTTTAAGGTGTTTTTTTTTTTTTAAGATTTTATTTGAGAAAGAATGAGAGAGAGAGAGAGCACAGGAGGGGGGCGGGCCAGAGGGAGAAGCAGACTCCCTGCTAAGCAGGGAGCCCAATGTGGGACTCGATCCCAGGAGCCTGGGATCATGACCTGAGCTGAAGGCAGACGCTAAACCGACCGAGCCACCCAGGCGCCCCCGGGATGGATGTTTCTGAGCCCAGTGGCCTTGCTGAGATGCCCGCCTGCCTGGGTGCCTGTGGGCCCTTTGGCACGTGGGGCTGTCCATGCTGGTGGCTGCAGGCCTTGCCAAGCCGGCCAGGAGGCAGGGTCTGACTTCTGTTAGGAGGTGCAGCTGCCGGCCTGGGAGGGCCACGGGGGCCTTTTGGAGTGACCAGCCTCCTTCCACACCCTGTTCCCTGGGATAGTGGTTTTTGCCCTAGAGCTGAGGTCCTGTTGGAGACCCTTCCGTGAGGAAGAGTGAGGCCCTCCTCTTGCTATCTCCTTCTCAGTTTTCTGGAGCACCTGGCCCCAGCTCTACCACAGTCCTGCGGGCTGTCCCCGTGGCCACATGTACCATGTGCTCCGAGCTCTTCACTCCTGTGTGTCTCCCTGCACAATTCGCAGGGGCTTGAGCACTGTCCCCAGCCCTGAGGAAGAGCTGGGAGGGGCAGATGGGCCCACATGGTGTTACAGGGGCAGGAGGTGGGATCTGACCTGTGTGGGCTCCTGGGGCCGTGCCCTTGGGCTGAGAGGAAGAGAGTAATGACCCCAGGGAAGGGGAGTGACCTGGGCTCCAAACACAGCTGCTGGCCTTTCCCGGCTCAACTCCTGGGGCCTCTCCTCTCCATAAGGCCCCTCACTGGGGGCGGGGGAGGGGGGCCTGGGCCATATGCTGCCTGGTGGGCTGTGTGTGCAGGTGGAAGCAGGTCCCGCAGCCCGTGACTCATACGGGGGCCCCTCCCGGGGGTCCTCAAGCTGCACCCAAGCCTCTGCCCTGATGGGCCCCTCCTGGCAGAGCAGGTGGCAGGCGGCATGCCCAGACTGCCCGAGCCTGGGCGACGGGCTTTCTCACGGGTGGACGCTATGGCCAGGAGGCTCCGGCATGTGATTTCAAGCATGGGTTTGCTGAGTGCCATGGAGAGGTGGGTGGTCTTTCATGAGACTCGATTGCTGGGATCCCCTGTGTGTCTTCTAGAGCCCCCAGCCCACATGTGCTCCCTCCCAGACTTGAGCTTTGTGTGTGCAGAACACTTGCTGGGGAGAGTGGTAAGGCTGCCCGCCAGGCAGGGGCCAACCCTCAGAGCTCCTCGGGCAGCTCTGTGCCTCCCAGAGAGGCCGACTGGTCAAGGGCGCCCACACATCTTGTCCTCCCCCAAGGCCTCTGAATTGTGTGGCCAGTGGTCAGGCGGTGCCAGGGCAGGGGGCCTGCCCATGGAGTGGAGCTGTTTAGGGTGGAGGAAGGTAAAGTTGATCAGACCTGCCCCAGAAAGAGCAGAAGACCGAGAGTGTCCGTCAGTCCATCAGCGGTGGGCTCCCTGTGAATGGGACTGGGTCAGAGCTGGCCATTTTCAAGAACTGCCGGTAATTGAAACTGTGTTTTGGGATTTCCATGAAGAGAACTGATTTTGATTATAGGTCAGGGAACAGGCACTCAGAGGCATTTGGGGCGCTAACTAGGACAAGGGTTGCGTCTGGAAGTAGGGAAGGCACCACGTGCTGTCCCCACGGCCGAGGCCGCTCCCCAGACCTCCAGCTCCACACCCACGGCAGTGCCCGTCTGTGTGGAGGGCGCCGTAGGGCACGTGGTCGGTGGAGGACATGCTGTGTGTCTGGCGGGGTGGCAGGCCTGGTTTGGTGACCCTGTCCCTTTGGCCCTCGGCATGTCCACTGGGCCTGTGTCCCCTTCCCCAGGCATGTGGTGTGAGCGGTTCCACTGTGGCCTTTGTCAGGGTTCTCAAAACTTCTGGGTGATT